CCTAAAATTCCTTTAGCTTCCTTCACTTGCTACGATAATGGGGTTATGAAAAATCAAAACCAAAGGTATTTTAACCCTCTTAACAATCATTCCCTTGATGTACTATCTTTAAAATTTTATCTATCAAATTTACAAAAGATCAGTTTACTTTTACAACTTGAAAGTAATAGGCTTGCAAATAAACTTTACAAAGTGTTTCAGTCAGAAAAGCATCCTCAGTAGTGTTTTCTTATTAACTTGTTCTTTAATTTTAATTATTAGTGGATTATGAATATAGTTCAGATAATCAGTATATGACATCTTTTTTTTTCAGGCCAAAAGGTGTGCTTCGCTGATGTGAAGCATCCTTGCTACAAAATGGCCTACTTCCACGAACTGTCCAGCCGAGTGAGCTTTCAGGAGGCTCGCCTGGCTTGTGAGAGTGAGGGAGGGGTCCTCCTCAGTCTTGAGAATGAAGCAGAACAGAAGTTAATAGAGAGCATGTTGCAAAACTTGACAAAGCCTGGAACAGGAATTTCCGACGGTGATTTCTGGATAGGGCTGTGGAGAAATGGAGATGCACAAACCTCTGGTGCCTGCCCAGATCTCTACCAGTGGTCTGATGGAAGCAGTTCCCAGTACCGGTGAGTGTGGCTCCTGTGGCGTCCAGTGTTGAGGGAGGGTTCTGTGCCCTGCAGAGGACATCAGAATGGGACAGGCAGAGGCCTCCACAAGGCATTAGTAAGTGTCCCCATTGCTCTGTCTTGTTTTGGTACCGGCGATCAAACTCAGGACCTTCCCCTTGAGAGGCAGGAGGTGGAACCGCTGAGCCAAAACCCAGGCTGCATGTCCCCATTGCTCTCTACTTGCAGGAATTGGTACACCGATGAACCTTCCTGCGGAAGTGAAAAGTGTGTTGTGATGTATCATCAACCAACTGCCAATCCAGGTCTCGGGGGTCCCTACCTTTACCAGTGGAATGACGACAGGTGCAACATGAAGCACAATTATATCTGCAAGTACGAACCAGGTAAATAATGTAGTCGGCAGGAAGGGCAGATTTTTTGGGTATTTGCTTATATTAGTTTGAATTTAAGCTTTGTGACTTTTAGCTCTGTTTCTGCTAGGAAATAAGGGATTACTTTCCAGCCTGTCCTAACATCACTCAGTGAACAAAGCTCTTTGTATGCTACAGAGAAAACTGCCCAAAGAGCCAAGGAGTAAATAGAAACATCTGACGAGGTGTCTTTGAGAGAATGATTTCTAAAATTAAGGCCAAATTGTTTTTGTAATTGGATTTTATGAACAATAAATATCTATTTTAGAATATTTCCAATATGTAATATAATCTATGGAAAGTAACTGTCTGTCACCAAAGCAACTTTAGTCTTACAATATTGGAGCAATGGTTCCTCAACTTTTTGGTAAATTTAAGACTACAGACCAACTTTCTCCTAGCACATTAGTTTAACATATCATAGTATAAGACTTGGCACATGGTCCTCCATAAAAATCCAACTAATAGCTTGTTGCACCAAAGTGAAAAATAGTAGGGGCATGTGATCTGCTCTCTCTCTCTCTGATTCCCATTCTTTCAAATATGTCTCCCTAGTTAGCTTTCTTTTGAAAACTCTAATTACTTGTCATATGCAGCAAATGGGCAGATTGCATTGACTTGAGCTATTTTAGTGTGGTCTTCTGCCATTAAGAGTAAATTGAATTACTTTAAATAGGACACCTCAAATGAATTGATATTTGACTAAAAGAAGGATTAATCAAGACTATGGAAACTCATGATTTTTAAATTATGCGAGAAAGTCAAGTAAGACTGATTATTTTCCTGGTTTCCTCTTCGGTGTTTCAAAGTGTCATTTGAACTCTTCTGAAGGGCTGTCTGCTTGCCCTGGTAATATGTGTTCACAGAAGGCAATTATAATCAAGAACTGCTGTTTCCATTATTCTCTTGAAATTACATGATTCCTTTTCTCATAAGACTGTAAAGCACAGGGGATTATTTGGATTAGATTTACCCTTCTCTTATGTTTATCCTACTCTTGAGTATATTAGCCAACTTTTTATATTCCTGGTGAGTTTATTCTTTAATCTCCTTGGTTGCTAAATCCATCATTACCCTCCTGGAAATCTTTGCAAAGCTAAGTCTCTAATGCACTTATGTTCTTTAGCTTTTTTTTTTTCCCCTTGTAAAAATATAAAGTTGAGATTCTGTGATAGTTTAAATTTTCTTAAACTGTTGAAGAAAATGAAGAACATATTGTAGAGTATGCCTTATGAAAGTGTATATTAGTATATAATAATGGGTTTAATTTTGGAAGAGTTGTAAATGTGTATAACATACTTTAATCATTTCCATCCCTTTTTATTCACCTTTGTCATTCTTTACCTACTACTTCTGATTCTCTTCCTCTTCTATCATATTCTTGATGCAATACTGTCCTACCCTTTCTTTTGACTTGTTGGATCATTAGTTTGATACTATTTTATTTTGTTTTTATGTGTATCAGACTTTCTTCATTTTTAAGAACTGTCATTTACAATCTACTTCTTTACTTATTTCATGTTGCCGATCTAGGTTTGTATTATCTATGTAAGAGGATTTAACATAAAATTGTGCTGTTCTTTCTTTCCCCTTCCCCCAAATCTTCAAATAATCAATATTTATTAAAATGTTTTTATATATGTTCAGTACAGAGTTATGCTGGGGATTTACTCAGTAGTGCTGCCACCTGCCTCATAAGCGCAAGGTTCTGAGTTCAATCCCTTAAAAAAAAAAAAAAAAAAAAAAAGAAAAAAAGAAAAAGAAACCCACAAAAAACAAACAAAAAAACCTGTGCAGTTATAGTTACCTTTATCAATATAAATAGAATTTTCATTATTTATTTTACTTTGAAATTTGTACCTTTTTGTTCTATTTAGTGAATTTTCCTTGAGTGTAGTAGCTACATTGGAAAAGATGTCGGCTTGTTTAAAATCCTCGTCTATGTAGTTAACACTTGATTTTTAGTGGTGACGGGTTTGAAGAATAAGGAATGTAGCTAATGAAAATGTAAAGTTATGGGCCAGAGATTTGGCTCAGTGGTTCAGCCACCTGCCTCAGAAGCATGAGGTCCTGAGTTTGATACCTGGTACCCAAAATAAAAGTGATAGTGATAATAATAATAATAATAATAATAATAATAATAATAATAATATACCACTGATTATTTTGAGCATTATTCTCCAACTTATTAGAACTAGCATGTGGTATGAACTTTGTTTCTTCTTTCTGTTCCTACAAACCATCTAGTAGCATGACTAATGATGACAAATGGTATAAAAAATTAACCTGGCTATGACAGAAATTAAATAATTCATTTGAAGTATTCTTTTTCTTCTCTCATCCTATTTTTGTAATTGATCTGTGAATCTGTGAATTGTATATCTGTTCTTTGGTCTACCAATGCCACACAAAGGCATTTTCATGGAACACTTCTGAATCTAGTTTTTGTATTAAAAATATCTTATGTGCTCCTGTTTTAGATATTAAAAATTTCATTTCTGGAATTCTGTTTTAAAATTTTATTTAATTAGCAATCATTTTAAAGTTTACTGAAATTACTAAAAAAAACAGTTTTGTTGATAGGTTGCTTACTTCTAAATTTTCTTGTTCAATTAACACCAGTCGAGCAATAATAGACATAGAGTGACTCAGTCATATAGAGAAGAATTGTAGACTAGGACTACATCTTACAGCTAAAGGTGGATGTTATAGTGTCAGAGTTAAAGATATTTACAGATAACAAATGTAACTACAGAATGATGTATGATTAAATTTCTAATTACCAGAGATTCTAAGACAATATAAGAGTAGTAAACATTACTTTTAAAATAAGGTTTTTTAGTGTAAAGACTATATAAGATAATACATGTGATTTTTCCCCCATCAATTGATGAAGAAAAATAATTACATTTTTGGAGCAAGTGAAAAATTTACTGATTTTTTCTTACTAATACAATTTAATTTCACTGAATTAAGACAAAAAATAGTTCTCTGTAAGAAGAATATGTGAAGCAGAGCAGTAACAGATCATGTTAAGAAATTTCAACCTTTTTAAAATGTTTGATATCTTATCACATAAAACCAGAAAAGAAATAACTCTCAAGAATGAATTTGTGATTATTAAAGAAGTAGATATTACTGGGAAACAAATCTTAAAGTGGCACTGTTTGTGTAGGGCAAAAATGTACTTTAGAACATTGTTGCTTGAATGTTAAACCATCAATTCCGAATGCAATCCACATATGGTCATCTGCCAATTATTATGCAAGGAGAGACATAAATATTGCATTTGTATTACTAAAGAAATTATCCTTTCTTATCTTTGAATTGCATTTAATATCTCTTTTGTGTTCATGAATTTCTGCTAATCTTTGCTAACTTCCTTCCTGCTTTGTCTTCGTTGTCTATAGCAGGCTGTCATTCCCATAGGACTGCTGTAGATTATTAATTGCAGTTCTGTGTTACATAGGGAATTTATTAAATGACTTTCATTAAAACATAATTACACTGACTTTATAGTTAGATAATTTTATGTAGATTTAAATTCATTATAAATTGTAATTATAAACTTTTCAGAAATCAAAATCAAGATGTTTTTCCTGTTTAAGCTTTTATTTTTATCTGTTTTAAATTTATACTGTTTAGTCATTGTTTATGGTTCCTATGCTGATTATTGCAGAGATTAGCCCAACAGATCCTATGGAGAAGCCTTATCTAACAAATCAACCAGCAGACACCCATGAAAATGTGGTTGTTACTGAAGCAGGTAATTAGTTCATGTGTCTTTAATCTATCAAATACAGAACTATTTTATCCAACATGGCTTCACATTGATCCTAGTGAACGTTTTCTTGTTGCTTGGGAAGTGGTGCACAAAGTATTGTCCAATGGTGCTCGGCATGGTGGTGCATCCCGGTAAAGCTGAGGCAGAGAGATTGCTATGAGTTCAAGACCAGCCTGGGCTACATAGAGAGCTCAAGCCCAGCCTGAACTATGTAGCTAGACCTTGCTTCAACCCTGTCTCTCCTCCCTAAAAAGGCCAATGGAAATTTACTTTGGGGCTAGGTTAAAAAAGATTCTATGATATTTCTGAATAGAAGAATCGGGGTTTTTTTTTTTCCTCAGATTTTCACTTCAAAGGGATATATCTGATAGTAAACTAAGTGATCTACGTTAAAATTTGGGTCTACAAGGAGATTGCCCATCATATAGTTGTTATGTTATAAATTGATATATTCAGTGGCCTGCAAACAGTTATGGGCTGGTAAATGCCGAGGGATTGGCTAGAATCAGGTGAGGTGAAAAATAAAAGCCTGATTTGTAGTCTTTGCCTACTTCCATGACTTAAATACTTCTAGTTGGTCAATTTGAGGTCATCAAGCAAGTTCACCACACACAAAGCAGTTTTGAGGATACATACAGTATGCTCTTGATCCAGCTGCCTCTATCATATCATGGCTCACAAAGGAAGCAAAATGCAGATCCTAGTGTAAATTTCATGGTAATGAGAGACTACTCTCAGTGTTAGTTAAGGCCTTGTTAGAGTTACTCCAATGCCAGTTGGCCAGAAAGCTTTATTTATCCTGTTCGTGTGTGCGCTCGTGCACGCAGGCTTGTGTGTGTGTGTGTGTGTGTGTGTAGATTAACCAAAAGGCCTAAAATCTCAAAATGTTTCTGCAAAATCCATGAATTTCTCTTTTTCTTTCTCACTATATATCAGGGATAGCAATGATAATTTTTTTCTTAACCCTAAACCTTACCCTAACCTTAAAACAATGATAATTTGAAAAGGAAATGTCATAAGTTCTTTAAATGCTTGACAACTCACGTGTTGGAAACTGCACTTGATCTTAGCCAAAATGCTGAGAAATGATCACTTGTTGAAAGCTAAAAAAGGTGAAAGCACTGAAAATTATCCCCAAACTATTCTATTACTAGACTTCATTAATATGTCTTCTGTTAACAAAGGAAGTGACATACTACTAAGATAATAGCTTGATTTATATCTGGTGCCCTTTGACCAAAGTTTTCAAGCTAAATGTATAGGTTTTCAATTTGCTTTTCTTGAATAGACATAGTAAACCTTATTGGGTTTCACTTCTCAGGTGCCTAATTTTAAAACCATTCAGAGTACGTAGACTTAATTACAGATATAATTAAATAATTACCTCAGTAATTTTTTTTGTCTTATGAAAATGAAAACATGTTTAATAAAATCATTTCATGCTGTATGGAACTTGAATGTTTCAGGTTATTTTTTCTTAATTTTAATAAGAATGCCTAATATTATCAAGTGTGTAGAACAGAATTAAAAATGATTCTTTTTAGAACTTAACATCATGTCTTTGTGTGCATAGAGTCTTGTATTTCTGAGTTATGACTTCATCATCAGGTAATATTTACTTTTTAAATTTAATCCCAGAGATTTGAATATCACTGTAACACCGAACTTATTGGTGAGGATGGTTATTTATCTATCCAGCAATTCAATAGTAATTTTAATAACTTCAAAAACTAGTGCTTATTTATTTCTCTAAGCAACAATTGAGAGGTAAATGAGGTAACCAAGGTTATTAATATACTAAAAATTAGCCTCTGTCTGAATTGCAGAGTTAATCATAATTTTTAAAAGTGTAGATATTGAACTGGAACATAACAATTAGTACTGTACAATTTTGTTTTTTATTTTTACCAAGATGAGGATATACTATTTCATTGTATTTTCAATACTTTGATGAGACTTGTTTCGAATCTATTCATTGGTAATAATTTTATTTTATCTTAATTTCAGGGAAAATTCTTACATCACTTTGGTGTGAGAATCATCAACTATTTTTATATACTAAAATTGTTTTACTTTTATAGGCATACTTCCTAATCTAATCTATGTTATTATACCAACAATACCACTGCTCTTACTGATACTGGTTGCTTTTGGAACCTGCTGTTTCCAGATGTTGCATCGAAGGTAAATAATTTATTTATATTAAAAAATTGATAAAGTTTAAATAGGCTTTCAGAATATTTAAAAATATTTCTTTAAAGTTAGTTACGTTGTTTACCTTTCAAAAGTTCTGATGTTCATATATTGCAGCACAAATTCAATTTTATGGACACATTTTCAATAGAGAAGTCATGCAATATCTCCTTTAATCCTCTGAAGCTTTGTGCAATAGGCGTCTTTCTATTTCTGTTTTGTTTGGGAAAATGATAACTTAGATGGCTCTATCTTGGGTCCTATAGCTAATGTGTGTGATGGTTCTGAAATTTGATGCTGGTGAATTTACAACAGATGCATTACACATACTGTTTCTTGCTTATTGAACACAAAAATTAACAGTAATCCTTTCAATCTGGACATCAAGCTTCACATAAAACTTGAATTCTCTAACTTCACATTGTAGCACTTTCCAGAATTCAAGTCATAGGCTTCTTTTTTATTTTAAAGAGATCTTTATGAATAGGAAATAATGTATAGTGATAAGAGCTTGGTTAGTATTTTCATGTATTTTGAAATTAGATAGATAGCTGATAGATAGATCATAGATAGATTTCAGAGGAATATTTTAACTTTTCTCACTGCTTATCCATACCCCTTAAATAAGGTAAGTTTTTCCATTTTTGTCAAACTTTAATTAAATTTTAAAATGAAACAAAAAGATGTATCAAAATAAAAAGTAAAAAATGTTGGGCTTAAGTAAAAGCATGTTTGCTAGAATAAGCTGAAATAAAATGTATCTTTAGAATAGGTTAAAATAAGACATCTTTGTCAGAATATTTTAAATAAAAACTGGTCAAAGAAAACTAAAATCAAAACTAAAACCAAAACTCTTCTATTATGGAAGGCTGTACACATGAAGTTATTTTTCTTTTTCAATTTCATCTTCTTCTTCTCCTGAAATAACAACCCCCCCAAAAAAAAACCCAGAAAAAATAGGTTTAAATTCTAAATAGTTCATATAAATTTAAAGGGATTTCACTTGCAATTAATTACATGTTAAGACATTGTAAATGATGACAAATAAAATGTGGTAAATTAATATTGTACTTTGACTTCCCAATACAAATATTAAGCACAATTCAAAATTATTTTTTGATATTTTGTACCAAAATGAGACAATAGTACACATACAGTTTCTCTAATTTAAGACTATAGATGAAAAGATGATTTCTCATTGTGAAAAGCAGTGAAGTAGAAGGATTAGACATAAATCCCTTCTTTATCCAGCCTAACCATTAAGGATGACCTGTAAGTAGCAAGCTTAAGAAATACTTTGAAAATATGACTGAGACATTCACATTTGTAAAGTAAAAAGAGCTAAACTGCCAAGCAACTATATTTTCTCTAAAATTTATTTTCTCTCCAAATACTATATGTTATTGTGACCATCTTACTCATTTAAAGTCTCCTAGGCTGCTTGAAGATCTGTGACTTTTCACTTGTTTGAAATTCTCCCAGTGAGAACACACCCAAAACGAAGCAGGTCCAGAAGCCAGCATTAGCTGTAGTAATTCATTCACTTGTTCTTAGATCCTGCCCTTCTCCTTTCTTACAGGAAAGCGAGGAGACAGTTCGTCAAAGACTCAACTCCATTATCATCTGAGTGCGTTGCAGAAAGTTTAAATTCCACTCTGGTACACATGATGGTTTCTTTGTCATGTTCAAAATAATTCCTGTTCCCTTAACTAGTAGTAATTTTGTAATGAAATACTAATTTTACCCAAAAGCCACATTAATAACTTAACCAATTTTTTAACATTTAAAAATTTCTTTTGTGCTTTTAATAAAATCTAACATACTTTCTATTTCAATTATATGGCTTTGTAGAATAAAAGAAAAAATCAATAAAATGCACAATTTGAATATATTTTAGTAGTCATAGAAACAGTTAAATTGAAGTGAATTAAGCTTAATATTTTTAAATAGAATGGTAGAATGTGTTTAGAAAGAGTTCCTTTCTATCTCTGAACAAGTTCATCAGTTTCTGTTGGCTGAGGATGGCATGGGAGAAGCATGGGCCTTGGGGTAGATGCTGGAGGCTTGAGAGTGTGCTCAGGGGAGAGGTACCAAACACAGTGAACAGTGAGAGGCACAGAATGGAGATCCTGGGGGAGAGCATCCCCAAGAAACTAGACCAAAGCACTAACATCTTGACAAAAAATTGGGTTAAGAATAATTTAGGAAATTTGTGAACCAGTACCTCAGCAGATATCTAAAAAGTGACCATTTCATGGGAAAATAGAAGCTGAACCCTAGCAGGTTCCAGAAACAAATTCCAATTCTAACAAGAGTAAAGTTATACTTCAGACTTGAAATAAGAATTGAGATACTCCTAAATTACCAAAGCTGAGTCTGGTCTTGAATTACATTCGTTTCAGAGATGAAGGCACAATTAAGCTTTCCAGGACCAAGTGATGGGAAAACTATAGTACACGATGGGAAAATTGATGTGAGGAAGGGAATAGGCAGCTCCTTACACTGAGAACCATAGCATTTGTTCTGATTTGATATTAAATTCAGCATATACTAGTGAAAGAAAGAAAGCAAAATTTCAAAAATCATTGAGCAAAGAAAGAAAATAAATTCAATGGGGATAAAATGGAAATTTTTAGCATTGTGACAGACACATCTTCATATGTGTATATCTGAACTATAAGTTATAAGGAAACAAACAGAAAAATGGTACATTTTTGTTTCTCATCAGTCAGGAGATCCTTACCCACTGAAATAATCTAGAATTTTTTGTAGGAATGAAAAAATACGCTGGTGAGAGAAGAAGGATTCTTTTGTAAATATGTGTCTCAGTTATCTCCATCTGGACCAAGACATGCTCTATTTTATAAGAAGTGTTAGACACTAAATTTATTTCTTCTTATGTCTTTCAGTAAAGGAAGAACAAAAACAAGTCCAAACCAGTCCACACTGTGGATCTCAAAGAGCACCAGAAAGGAAAGTGGCATGGAAGTATAATAATTCATTGACTTGGCTCAGAAAAGAAAACTAGTCTTGTAATTCTGGATCCATGTAAGGAATGGCATCAGAACATTAGCTTGGAATGGCTTGAAATCTCAAAGGATTTGCAAAATGAACTGTAAGCTCCCCCTTGAGGCAAATATCAAAATACTTTTTATATGTTTATTATCTCATTTACAAAAATGTGCTGTACTAATAATGGAGTGAGACTTGCTTATTTTGTTAAAGGATGCACCTAGACTTCAAGAAAATGAAATGGACCATGCAGATAAAACTACTGTCAGCACATCAGGAGTAAATGTGTTGAAAGCAGTTAATTTTATTTCTTTCACTTTTCATAAGTTGTAATTTAGTTAATGTAATATAAATTGTATTGAAATTTTCACTCTGCAAAAGCATTTTAGCCTTGCATAAGCATTTGATAAAAGCGAACTCTTCTAATATTTATTTTTATGACATTCCATTTTTCAATACATGCCATTTTGATTGAAGAAATATATCACTGTTTTCAACTGAATTCACACACACAAATATATTACCATAAAAGTTTCTTTTCTAGAAATAATTTATCTTTTTCAGCTTCTCTTCTCTTGGTTGGACAATGTCTAGGAAGTCTCTTCAGAAATAAGAAGCTGTTTCATTAACTGTGGTGTAATTTCCAGAAATATTTTCCTTAGAGGCAAGAACTGTCTAATTTCAATTGTGCAAGACATGTGCCTTACAATTATTTTTTGTTTAAAAGTCAACAGATTTTGTAATGAAATAACTTTACTAATAGCTGTATAGTAGTAACACAGTAAATATTGAACAAAATGTGGCATAGACAATATTATTCATATGTCTTCACATGTTGCCTATATAACTACAAATAGCTCTCTGAGGGTTCAACATGGTCCCTCCTTTACCAGTCAAACAATGCCAATTGTTTGGGGTTGGGGTTGACATTGGAGGAAGAGAATTTCAGAGTTGGTCTAAGGTTTTCTCACTGAATTTATCCGCTATTAGTATATAAAAGTTCTTGTAATTGGGACCAAGGGAACGGTCACCACCAGAGTGGAGCTAAGCACAGTACACTGACATTTCAGGATGGAAAAAATAAACACATCCTAGATTAGATGAATTAGTGTGACATGTGTTGGAGGTCATCTGTGATTTAATATTCACTGATAAGAATTTGTTCCCAGTAGTAAACAGTGGCTCCTTTTTGTGTTATCATATCCTAGTTTCTTCAGTGCTGTGACTTCTTCTCAAGTTGTTACTATTTCTTCAAATGTCCTTGAGCTCCTTTTAACCAAATAAAGAGTTCTTGTTTCTGAAAGACGATTATTGGTGGTGTCTAAATCTCTTATGTCAACAATTATTAGACATGCTTCATCACTACATGAAGGTGAAACAAATTACTGTTGAAGTGTGGTAAGAATGACTTTATGGAGAAACAACCTTTTCCTTGTCAGTGTTTCAGTTGGACAATAAAATATTTTGCTGAAGTAAAGTTACCAGAGTTCAGTGACAAAACTAAGAGGCAAAATAGGAAATCATGTTCAGATTTTGTGGGCCCCTTTTCAGACTGATAGAATGAACAGCTGGATTCTAAGCTTAGATCTTCTTCTAGGTACCACCTTGGGATTCCCCCTCTCTAGGTGGAATGGTAGACAAGCTGCTGTGATCTGCGTCACCATGTGTTTCCTCCTTTAGTCAGGACTTGAAACTGTACAACCTGGTTTAGTAGCAACTGCAAGGGAGAAGCAGCAAAACAATGGAGAAAGGACTTGGTTTTGCCTTTTATCTTTATTCAGGTCTTGGTAACTCTTCGTGTATCAGTGACTAAACCCATAAGTGACTAAGGATAGGAAAATAAACTTCCTTCTTCTTGGAAGGTGGTAATGACTCATTTCTGAAATGTTTCTTAAAATTTTGCCTGACCTTTACAAACTGAAAATGAGTACAAAGTATGTCTATTGTGTTTATGTTTACAGAAAACACTTTGAGTATATGTTGGAAAATGTACATAAAATATGTAAAAATCTTCAAGTATTATGCACAAGCAACATCCTCTACCCCCACTTCTCCACCTGATTTTTAGAATGGGTTCTTAACAAGAAGAATGTGCTCAGGGACTCCTGAATTTTGTCTTTAGAATGAATCCCACAATATTGGGAATTTGTGGCCCATCATTTGGCCACACTGTCTTTAGATAGCAATGTTTTTGTTGTTCTCTCTCTGACTGCACCCCAATGAAAGCATCTTTTGGTACCACAACATATGATTCTCCACTAACCTCCCTTCCTGCTCCCGAATAGTCTTAAATGTGCCAATAGTCATTGTTCCTTCATGTGTAGTTCAAGTCTCCTTTCTCTCTTAAGACCGATCTGTACTAACTGGTCCCTTCTTTCAACTCCTCTAAATTTCATTGTTGCTTTTATTATATTTGCTCATATTTGTTTTCCATTAAGGAGGTATAAATACTTTCTCCCACAGATTCTTTCTTATCATACATTCTGTGTGGTGAGCTAAATTGAAGTTTGTAGTTATTCTGGAAATGACCCAAGGAATTAAAGTGAAACAAATTCATTTACTACACATTTTTGGCTTTTCTAAAAGGCAATTCAGCTGTGTCTAACTAAGTTTTTCACATGTAAGAAATATCCACTATAACACATATAAACTGAGGAAAATATTTCTAAGTTTAATTTCTTTGGTATATTTGATTATTTTTGCGTTTAAAAAACATGAACTTGAAATAAATGGAAAGTATAAATAATCTAGCTAAAACAAAGAATAGTATTAAGTGACCATATAAGTTAATTTATTTTTTAGTTTGATGCTAAGGAGTTATATATAGTCCTGTGTGTATTTACTCTATAGCTTTATCTGAAGGCAATACTTAATCATTCATGTCACAATCAGGTTTGTGACATGAACTCACAAAAATATTTTTATTAGCTAGAAAAATATTAACATTATATTAAAATTAAAATAGATTTAGATGAAATGCATTCGATGAAAAAGCAGGAAAACCATTGACATTGTAATAATATCAAGTTAAACTGAAACCAGGCTATTTATAGCACTTTATTACAGTGATATGCTTTGAGCAAAATAATTTATTTTACTTCCTAATAATTCTGAGACTTACTGAAATGTATCATGTATATTTAAAATAATGACTCTTTAAATAACAGAAAATGGTAGTGATTAAAGACAAATAAAATATCTGTTAAAATACAGTTATTACCAATAAAATCAAAATACATTTTAAAGTTACTTTGCATTTCAAAGATTAATTATAGTTATTCATTTTGTTAATTCCTCTTGCCTGGCACTTTGGTGGCTTAGGTAAAAGTAAAATCTTTTAATAATTTTTTCATATAAATGTCTCAGTTTCCATGATCCTTAGAATGAATTGTGAAAAGTGGACCATGTTCATTTTTGGTTTAAAAAAAAACACTCTAATGTAGAAAACTTTGTATCCATTGTGTGAACCTTGAGACCAAAACATACACCCCTGGGCGATTAGGCAGTGCACACTTGTATCCAAATGATGTCACACCAGCAAGGAACCATCTGTTGTTTTCTTGGCACATTAGTGGTCCTCCCGAATCTCCCTAAAGAGTGAGTCACAAAAAATAGTTGTGGATATGTGGTCAATTTACTTAAGTATATAAGATTTTTTTGAGAAATTAATAAAAATAATTATTCAGAAACATTTAATTGCATATTATCTGTATATGTATATTCATTACCACTCTAGATCATGAATGAAAACCCTTTGCTTTTCAGTAAAGAGACAAAGCAAACTATGGTGACTAAGACATAATTTATATATCTTTATAATGCATTTTTTAGCAAGTACCTCCTCAGCTTAATTATAACATTTTAATGGGTACTAAAAAATACTATTAGACACAATGAAAATATAAATTAATCATCTTATTAAAGAAGATATTCTATAGAGAAGATATACTCTATATCTTTTATCTATCTATCTATCTATCTATAAGAAAAGTTATTGCACAGTTTGATTTTAGAAAAATTAAAAACTCACAAATATTGGTGATTGTAGCTTTTAGTTCTCTTGGGTAGAATTAAGTTTTTAGCATTTGATAAACACAATCTGATTTGAAAACTTTAACATTTCAACTGAAATAGGCAAACCTTTAATATAATTTGTACCCATAAAAACATGTGTTTTCATTGGAGATTTCAACTGATGGAGAAATGTTTTTAATTTTCACAAACATTAATTACAGCTCATCCTATTAGAATTAATCACATAAATTTTATTTGTACATAAGGGATCCTGTGTGATAAAAATGAAGATAATGCAGAATATAATGTCAGTAATTACACATGTTGATAAACATTTCTCAAATATTAATTATATACATATTTTTAATTAATTTTTAAAAAATGCATAAAAGAACTTAAAGCTGCCTGTATTTTGTTTGAAACCACTGGTATAACAACATTTAAACATTAGATTTTTCATTAGAAAATGTACTCAGAGTTTTTGCCTGATTATCATCTTTGGATCCTATATTATATTAAAAGGATTAAAATGTAAGCTATGAAAATACTTAAATTTTCTCTTTGGTTCAGGGGAACACAAGCTGCCCTGGCAACCACTGTTACTTTTTTTCCGGATGTAACAACTGCAAGGTTTTTGAAGACAGAAACTGTAATTTTTAGTATTGCATCTTAAACTTTTGTCTTTATAGGAGTTCAAAAATATTTATGAACCAGTATATATACAAGTCTCAAAATATATTATAAATGGCTTATAAATTATCAAAACTAATTTTTAATTACTTTTATATTTTTAAACTTTTCTGTACCGGGGATCGAACTTGGGTTCTTTCGGTTGTGAGGCTGACAGCAGAACCACTGAGCAAAATCCCCAGCCCAGAGGAATTTACCCATTTTCTTTTGTTTTTGTTGTTTGTTTGTGTTTTGGTACCAGTAATTGAACTCAAGTCCTTGTGCTTCTGAGGTAGGCGGTGGAACCACTGAGCTAAATCCCCTGCTCCAATTTGGATATTTTTAAAGGGGTCACTTAATTCTCTTCATGTTTAATACAATTATTTAATTTTTAATAGATATAAGAGATCAGAGATTGATTATATGGACAAGGGTTTTAACTATGCTGCCTCAGTTACAGTTGCTCATGCACATGCAGCAAGCGTGTTGCTATTCTGTCTGTCTGGGTGGGAGACCTAGTTTTGTTTCCATTGTTTCTCATTTAACTACACCGTTTCAATTTAGCTATGTAACTTCTGTCTTACATTTTGTATTTTTTCATTGTTATTTCTTTCCTCCACTATTCTCAAGGATGTAAAAGTGCTTCAAAAATGAAATGAATGTCCAGAAGATGAAATGTTAACTTTAAAAATGTCTCCCCAAATGGATGCTATGTTTATAAATGAAAAGAAAATTCACTACTTTCTTTGAGAATGTGTGTGAGGATTGGTGGCCATTTTTGTTTAGAACTGTGGTTCTCAAATTTGACTGTATCAGAACCACCTGCAGGGGATAATGCAAACACTGTTAAGCCCTAATTTGGAAGTTCCTGACATAGCAGGTGTGTGCTGGGACCTGAGGATTTACGCTTCTGACTTGACATGTGCCTAGATGACCATGTCTGTTGGGCAGAAAGCCATGCTTTGAAAACCAGTGGTACAGCATTTGGTTCTGACTGCTTACTATAGTGGCATTCATTTAGTTTTGTATTCTTTCCTCCCTGGTATTGCTTTTATCTTTAGAATTATTTATTTATGTATGTATGAATGTATTTATATTTTGGTACCTGGGATCAAACTTGGGACCTTGTGCTTGTGAGGCAGGAGGCAGAACCATTGAGTTAAATCCTGTGTTGCCTTTAAATCCAGACAACTGCTTCAAAAGTGCATGCCTTTGTGAAGCCAGAAGATATTAAAGATCTTGTAAATGGTTAATACACAACTAAATTTTGAGTTTAACAAAATGCCTTAGGAAACATACTCAAGCTGGGCATGATAGTTCTCTAATCTCAGTACTCCAAGAAGCTAAGGCAGGAGGATCACAAGTTTGAGCTATGCCTGGGCAACCCAGTACCTCGACTAGACTAAAAAAATACACATTTTTTTTTTTTAAAAAAGAGGTGATAATAAAGGCCTTGGGTTCAATATCCAGTATCAAAACAAGCAAAACCAAATTAATACCTTTAAATAACATATTCTTAGTTAATCCCCTTATAAATACAGTATTGAAGATGAATCCCAAGAATCCTGTGTTGATCTATTGTATTGGTTACTCAATTATGATAACATTCTATTGCACAAAATATTTTCTTGTGTGTGTGTGTGTGTGTGTGTGTGTGTGATTGCTTATTTTTTAATGAATAACATACCTAGACTCTGCAGAAATTATAGCCAACTATAAGATTTCAGATATCTGGCATGACTTATTGGCTTAAAGTAGCCCTAACATTAAAAGCATTGGCCATCATATTTTTGCTTAGTGCATGAATTGTCTGCCACACAATCCCATTAACTATAATTGAAGTTGTCCAGTTGTTTTCCCTTCTGCACAATATTTCCATAAATCTTCTAAGTGGCAATATATCTTACCTTAAGCACACTTTTCATTTTGAAAGGAAAATATTAGACCCAGAGGTAAATTTTCAAGCAGAAAACCATCTAGCATGTCTTAAATATGCAAGAGTTCATCAAAGAAGAATAAAGGTAAAATTGAGCTGAAAGTTTAACATTACTTAAAACTGTGATTTACATAGAGGATGCATTATAGATTTATCTGCATGTCTGTTCAAAATATCTTGTCAAGTTATATGTATTAGTATATGAAACAAGTTGTTCCATATTAACACAGTGAAAGCATATCCCCCTGATATAATTTGCTACTATAAATTACTTATTTGATCTGTCATGCCTTCAGGTTTAATCTAATTCAGTACGTGATGCATTAGTATTTCATTAATTTTGAAAAACATGCCAGAAAATTTATTTACTAAGTTTCATGATAAAAACTGCTAATACTTTGGAGTATTTACGTGGTGCCTTACATGTTATCTGACTTAAACTTCTCAGTAAATCCCACGTAACTTGTACAGTACTACCAGTAAGTCTTCAAACCAGGGCAAATAAGAATAGCCTGGGCATAGATCTCATGCTGTCAATAATTACCTTACAATGAACCTAAACTTTGTGATTTTAAACTTAATAGAACTTCTTATTTATAGAATGTATGTGGATTTTATGGAATTTATAGATGGCTTCATTATTTCTAGTTGATGAAAACTGGAGATCATTATTTTTAGTTGGTCAAGTGTATACAAGAGTGTTTCTCTGATGGTTACATGGATCAGAAACAATTGGCACTTCAAATTTGTTACAGTACTAACATTCTTATATAACTGAGTTAGTTATTACATTTCTAAAGTAAAATGTAAAAGATGATATGATTTTTCTATTAAAGCGTTCTAGAGCCAGAGTTACGCCACACTATTAGGTTTTTATTCACTTCCCATTTAAGCTGCTGTAAACTAGCTCTGACTAGGTTATTCAGGTTGCTTTTCCTCTACAAATGATCTCAGTTCACCAGATACCTGGACCGTACTCTAAATTCAGAGTTGGAAACTAGAGGCTCATAGAGAAAATTGTCCCTTGGGTTTGTTTTGCTTGTTTTACTTTTTGTCTAGGACACAAAATCATTGGAAATTTGACAATAACGTGTTTAGCTAAGATACAGATTCCCTGGCTCAATCCAGGCCCACTAACTTGTATTTTGTGCCCCTGCCTTGTACATTCAAATATTGTACCTAGTCTCTCTAAAGACATTTGATTTGTAATGCTTATTCCTAAGAAATAGTTTTGTTTTTAATGCTCAGGTCCTCTGAGGAAGAGTATACAAATAGGCCAAAAATGATAGTTTTACATAAGAAAAAGTGAAGCCAAGCAACCTTGATAATTTCTTTACACCTGAATTTTTGTTAAACAGTGAAATCAGTATACAGCAGTGCTTTCTGAAAGTAAAAGATGAAGTTTGACGTAGTTACCTGACAAGTATCTGTCCCTCCTTCTTCATAGCCTGCACATATCATATTTTGGGTAATGTTATACTCTGGCATCAGTTGCTGACATTTCTCATTTGATAGAAGAGGAACATTAGCTTCTTGCAGGATGTCTACAGTTGGACCTGCTCAAAATGGATAATGCCGCCAGCAAGTCAGAAGTGATACACTTGTGTTTTTGAATGAAGCACCATCAGTCTTACTTATTCCAAACATTTCGCTCTCATTACCAAGTACATTGTGTCTATATAATGGAACTAACTATAAACCTTGCATGTTAAATGACATAATAAAATCCATCTGTGGATTTTACCAAATGGATAACAGCAATGCATATCTTTCTTTCCTAAGGGCTAGTAGGAATGGTGGATTGAAATAAGGTGATCTTTAGCTATTTTCAGTAATTTCAAAGTTACAATATTGCTCATGGAAATAAAACCTGCCAACACAAAGAGCTGCATTCATAGAAATTAGCACCGACTCAGAAATCCAGAAGTGCTTTTCATTTGGCACCTGAAGAGGTGCTCCTTCCAGTATAATAGCATTTAGCTTCTTTGTGGTGCTGTGTGAGTGAGCAGGTGCTCGCTGAGTGGGGGACAAAGCTCCCACGAACTGTGCCCTGGTCTACGGGCAATGAGCCTTTCATCTACATACAGATGAAGAGAGGGAAGGTGTTTTTAAAAGTATAGTTTCATTCCTTTTTAGAAAAGGCTCGTTCTCTATTAGTATGAATCTCTGCATAGTGAAATACGAATCCCAGAAGGTAAGAGAAACAAACAGGTGTTAGTGTACCTGAAAAGGAACATAAGTGCTTTCTAATAATTAGCAGTTCTATTTGGTTCCTCAGGCTAGGCAAAAAGTTGAGGTTAGTACACTTGATAGTGTTTTAACAATATATGTGAACTCATTTTCAGTTTAGTTTAATTCATCCACTAAAAGACTAAGGAAACAAACAAATATTGTGAGTGTGTGTGTGTATGTGTATGTGTGTGTGTCTGAGAGAAACAGAGACAGAGAGAGACAGAGAGAGACAGAGAGAAAGAGAGCGAGATATTTAGGTGCAATGCAGCATACATATATATTTATATATATGAACTAACTCAATAATGTGTTGGTAAATGTGTAACCATGGGCTTCCAGAAAAAAAAAAAAAACCAACGTATCTTCCTGCTTTTCATGGAGTGAAATTCCCTCTATGACTGATGTAGAGGTATTAGCATGACAATGAAGACAGAGTTGGGAGGAGACCACAAATGGCTATTGCCAGCTGGTGCCAGGGAAGTCAACAGCACAGTGCTGCGTGACTTTCAAAGTTCCACAGTACTCTTTAAGAAAATAAATTACAGAGGTCAAAATAGAAGAGAAAGTTCAGCACCTTACTGTATGCAATGAAAAATGAAGATCTAGGATGGCCTGATTAGCCTTAGTTTTATAATTAAAAACCAAAGCCATTTTTGCTCCTTGTCAATGCATAAAAAATGTTTTAGTAAATAATAAAACTCATTGGTAAAAGGAAATTTGAACAATGTCTGTACATTTAATATGTTATTTGTCAATATGACTTGTCACTAAGGTAACAAGGAACACACCTACACACATACACACATACAGACATGCATACAAATTTTAGTAAAGTTATTTTTAATTTACTGTTTTCTCTAATTTAAACAACGAATATCACCTCATTCCTTCTTCATGAACAATATGTTCCTCATTTTCTTACCTAATTAATTAATACAACATATTCTCAATTTGGGAAACTGGTATTTCATGAAATTAGATGATGAAATTGGATGAAAATTATAAGGCAGTGCTCATAAAAATTATGAAAATTGCAATCATCCAAGAAGTATTTATTTATTCCTCTCATTAAGTTATTGGTACATTTTAGGTATACAGTACAGTTACATTCATCATTGGGATCTTGCACCTTTACATGACAGGTCTTGGTTCTTTTTTTCCCTTGCCCCTGCCCTCCCTTCACCCCTTCCTACCCTCCTCATTTACAAACACTTTATCTCCATTTTTTTCATTTTCTCATATTTTTTTCTTTTCCCTTATAACCTTTCCCCTACCCTTCCCACTTCCCCTACACCTTTAGCCCTTTTCTTTCTATTTCACATTGTCAATTATATCATGAGGATCCAAGAAGTATTTAAAGATGAGCTGGTCATTTATTTCTAAATGAAATTGATCTCAGATACTGTTTTCTTTCTCCTGGCTCCATACCACTTTTAGAGACTTTCTTAAGTCAATTAAACAAATATTTTAGTAACAATAAGCTAAGTTTACTCAGCTCAAGTTTTTGGTTTTTTTTTTCTTGTATGGAACAGAGTCTTAAATCTTGTTAGTGCATAATTTATTTTTGGAGTCTACACTGCGGCCATAAAATATCTTTTAGTTTAAGGTCTGAAGGAAAAAAATCTATCTGGCTGAAAATCATTTTTATTCTTTAAATTTTAATAAATCATGACATTCTTCAAGTGGAAGAAATATAAGAATATATGGTCTTTAATACACTTTACAGAAAGCAGACAAGAGGTATTTTTGCAATATAATGTGAGTGCTGTGGAGATCTTTTGTCCCAGTCCTCAGGCAAACACTCTACTTAGAACTTTATGCTTTCTCTGGTAAAGAGTATGGATATTTTCTCTGGTAAAGAGTAAGGATATTTTTCATATATTTTGATTCTGAAACTCTGGACCTCTCCACAAGGTTTTGTGCATTTTCATCTTAAATCTACCTAGGACTTTTGAACATTACACCTACATTTTATTATTACCATAGAGATTAGGAAGACTGTCTTTCCTTTTTGATTAATGTTATGGAGTGGTCGGAACTCTGTAGGTGAAGTACTGTATTAGGAATTTTGTAGTCGACGAGCCTTGAAATTAAATGTACAGGATATGAAGTACTAGAATGTTTTTGGTATTCTTGTTCATCTCAAAGTACAAATAGATAAATAGAGAGATAGGTAGAGCCACATAGTTATAAATTATTTAGCTTCATTTTTATTTTTCACCAACACATAATAGTGTGAACATTTCTGGGAGACTGAGGCAAGAGGATTGGAAATTCTATCCTAGCATGGGTAACTGAGTGACTTAGCAAGACCCTGTCTCAAAAATAAAAACTAAGAATAGGGATGTAGCTTAGTATGAAGGCTCTGGTTTTAATCCTCAGCACCACACACAAAAAGAAAAAATATATTTTAATGGAGTACTGTTCTGTTTTAATACATGTATACATTATGTAATGTTGAAATCCGGTTTTGCATATCTATTGCATCAAGCATTTATCCATTTTTCTTTCTGGTAAATGCAAGATCATTTCCCCTAGCCTTTGGATATGTACAGTATATTACTGTTGTCTATAGTCAACCTACTGTGCAGTAGTACACCAGAACTTCTTGCTCTTATTTAATTGTAGCTTAGGACCCATTGAACAATTTTTGATTCCATATAGGAGTGAGATCATGGAGAACTTGCCTTTCCATGCCTAGTTCCATCCATGTTGTCACAAATAACAGGCTTTTACTTTCCATAATAGCCAAATAATGTGTCACTGTGTATATGAACAACATTTTCATCATTCATTCAGTTGACCAATACTTAGGGTTTTTTTCCTGTCTTTTTGGCTATTGTGAATAGTGCTGCAGTGGACATGGTAGTACTGCTCTCTCCTTGACATACAGATGTCATTTCCTTTGGACCCATACCCAACAGTGGAATTGCTGAATCATATTCAGCATGTTTATGTTTGGAAAACACAATATCAGGAGCTCAATGATATATCAATCTGGTCTTCAGTATAAGGTTCATGTCATAATTTAGTCATTTTGCCAAAAAGCAAGTTCAGCATGTTGAAGGTAGGAGCGAATTCATTCTCATTGTAGGGAACTTGAGTTTGTGGCTTTCACATTGTAAATAAAGATAAATTTGATGATTAGGAAAGTGGGACAGATAATAATATGGCTTTTATTGAGACTTTTTTCATATATTTGACCAAAATAAAATTTGGAATCTTGGATTATATTCATTTCACTAAATGTATCTTTTATATTTAGGAGTGTTTATAATGCCAAATTTAAATAGTGAATTTAAGGAATATTTGAATTCTTCCTTTAAAGTGTTATAGTTTTATAACATACTCTGGAATAATACACCTGGAATAAATTAAATATATAAAATTATAAACATGTTACACAGTGCTCTTTAAATATTGCAAAATTATTCATTGTAGTATGAGTTGAAAAAAATGTTGAAAAATATTCACAGGATAGTTCAACAGCATACTTCTTTCTAATAGACTTTTTCTCTTTTTCAAGATTGATACTTTACCTTCAGATTCAAGCCTTCCCCAGCCCGCAATAGAACAATTCCTTCCTGGAAGAAAATCTTGATTTTCCTCTGGTAAACAAATAGGTTGTATGTAATCTGAAAGCAAACAAAACAAAGTGATCAAAGGAAAAAACAACAACATAAAAACATGTTTCTAACACATTTTAAAAACCAAACACATCACCATTTAACAACAACAAAAAAACCTGTATTTTTGTTTATCTTGCACGAACAACTTTTAAACATCATAGGGGAAAAAAGGTATTTTAAAACAGTACTTCTTTGTCAATGTATTAGCTGTCACTTGTGGTTTTTTTGGAGTCCTTTATATAATCTGGTAATTACTCTTTTTGGAGTGTGAACAAAGTCATTTTTCTAAAGTCCATCATTTATGTTTAATTTTAGTATATGTGCTGCTGAGGTGAGTACCATTTATGTTTAATTTTAAATAATCATGATGCCCCAATGAACTAATTTCATTTCTACTGTTTTTCAGGGTCAGTAAAGAGAAACTTGGACAAACATCATCATCATCATCATTATTATTATTTGTAATTTTTTCCAGTGCACTTATGGAAGCAATAATATTCACGACTGACTCTTTCTTTTAATCAAGTTTATTGTTACTCATTAGATATATAGAACAGTTACATTCATCACTGGGAACTTGAACCTTTACGGGATGTATCTTGGTTCTTATTTTTTCCCCTATACTCCTGCCCTCCACTCCACCTTTCCCTGTTTAGAAATACTTTGTTTCCTTTTCTCATTTTTTTTCTTTTCCTTTATTTCCTTTCCCCTACCCTTCCCACTTCCCCTACTCCTTTAGCCCTTTTCCTCCCATTTCATATTATCAATTATGCAATTTGAACTTTATTTACACTTAGTTTTTCACACCAGAGAAACACTTGGTATTTACCCACGTGTGTCCTATTTATCATCACTGACTCTTAAAGCCTTCTGCATCAACTTACAAGCCGCCTAGTATTCAACAAGCTATTTACTATTTCTTACAACTCAGGGCAGATACAAAAATTAAGAAGGTATAATTTTTACCTCCCAGGACAGGGCTATAAAACCAAATATAGTAACAGTCTACTTTTCATAAGTGCTGCAATATTTTTTTAGCCCAAATTTCATGAGAACTAGAGACTACAGCACTTTCTCCTGAGCACTAGAAAAGACTTCAGAGCTAAGATTACAACTGAGTAAAGCCTGTTATAGTTTATATCTTGATGCTCCCCAAAGCCTTGTGTATGCACAGGCCGGGCTTTGGGGAGGTGATTGGATCATGGGCTGCCATGCTTATCAGGGGATGAGCATACTGATGAGATTTTGAGCTAAATGTGCTGTCACGAGGTGAGGCCTGGTCTAAAGAGGGGGGCTCAGGGCTGCTTCGTGGCAAGGTCTGTTTCCCTCTCTGGCTCGTTCCTTCTCTTTCTGCCTCCTGGCCACCACGAAGTAAGCAGCTTTTCTAGAACTGTGACCCCCTCCCCACTGTGCTGTTTCTCTTCTGGAGCCTGCTGATTCTGTGAAATGTAAGCCAAAATAAACTTCTTTTTTAGGTTGTGTGTGTCTGGTATCACGTCCCAGTGACAAGATAGTGACTAAGACAGCGCCCTTCAAGATAAAGTTTACTTTCTCTGTTGATTTCTTGTACATTTTCCAGGCCCTTGGAGGAAGTCCTTCCTTGCCGCTGTAGTAACATTACTGGCTGTACTTGAAAGCTTTAATTATACAGACAGCCCTAGATACCCTAAGAAAGCAAGCCCTTATCTCAATTTTTCAGTGTTTGTCTTACCCTCTCTTTTGTACTAGGCAGACCCACATTCAATTACATGAGAAACAGAAAGAATGAATAACACAATGATCTATTTTGTAGGGCTGCTTCTTTCTTAAAATTATTTTTACCCGTTCACTGGAAAAATGTACCTGTATGGAGGATGCCAAGAGTTTTATTCAGTTGGTCCTATCTAGAAAGTTGGATTTAAGCACCTTTTCTTTAATTCCTCAATTCCATTTTCATTATAATGCAACAAAACATCCAGTTTATACAAACTGATGCATTCATACTATTAATATTTCAATGCATATTGTGTATTAATTTGAGTAGCTAAGAATACTGAAAGTGACTTGCTTTACCTGTGTAATTCACTTTAAATACAAGACGCATCATGGCGATGTCGCTGTCCTTTATCCTTTTATTGTAGAGAGGGTTTATGACAATTTGATCTATCAGCCGACTTTCTATATGAGGAGAAGTCAGATTTGTGCTGTCATGGAGCCCTAGGATTGCATTCCACTTAGATGGGTCTAAATTTCTCCTGAAGATTGTAATAAGAAAGAATGAGAAACTCAATTAATAACAATTCCCTTCAAGAAGTTATCCAGCATAAAATTTTAGAACTATGAATTTCCATTCTACAATGCCCTTACATCTTTCTGAAAATTATTATTGAACTTATTATTTTTAATTGACACAAAAATTGGAAGTATCAGGGTGGTACCATATGATATTTTGATAGATAGGCACATTGTGCAATGTTCATATTAGGGTAAGCACATTTATTTCTTCAAGTATTTGTTATTTCTTTGTAGTGAAAACATTTGAAATACTTTCTTCCCGCTCTGTAAAATATATGCTGCATCACTGTTATCTATGGTCACTTACTGTACGACAGAACACCAGAATTTCTATCTCCTTTCCAACTTAGTACCCAGTGACCAACCTTTCTCATCTTTTTTTCTATTCTCCCCCAGCCTCTGTTAACCACTATTCCACTCTTATTTTCTTTTAGATCAACTTATTTAGATTTCGCATATGGTTAATTTTTGCATTTCTGATCAGATCAAAGAAACTTAATTAGTGAAAATCCCTCTGTCTAATTTCTCTTAAGTCATGTCCTGGTCTCTATTTCTAGATGGTCATTTCTTTCTGGATGCATATCATAAGGAATATTTTTCAATAATACAGATACTTGCTCTCTCTCTTCCCTCTCCTCCCGCAACTCTGATTTAGTGACTCTAGAATGGACCACCAGACACTTCTACAAGACTTTAAATTAAAACCCTACATTTGGACTAATATACAGCTATGTTTGAGAACCTCTGCATCAGATCACATTCCACTGTGGGGATCACAATTCAGTCCAGAGCTGCTCCAGCCAATAGTAGCAGGTGAGGCAGTAATAGAAGAGAGTTGGGAGCACTCTGTCATTTTTCTGTTATAAGATTCACATAGAGTTAAGGTCAGCAAAGCAATCTATTATGATGCTTATTTAAATAATTTCCATATAAAATGTTGGCCCTCAATAATATGTGGTAAAGGATAACAGTTGTGTAATAAGATAGACAAAATTAGTAGTATAATTTGAAAGTGAGCAAGAACTTATAAACACACTGTTGCCCTGTAATAGCTTCATGCCAAGATATTATCAATGAAGAGCTGGAATCGAGCCAAGTAAGCCATATTCACAATGAAGTCAAAATTTAATAATTGCAATTATAGGCAGAAGTATCGATCCAATTCTTAATAGTTGCAAATGCCTAATTTAACATAAGTTAAAATCCAACTCACCTACAAATGTATACATGGCAGTAAGTAATTTTCCATCCACCTGTCTTTAAATCTATTTAGTTGTCACATTGTTTCATTTCCCATATCATCATCTTTCATTTGGTAGTAGTTAATTAGCAAAGGTTATCAAGACTCAAGCAGAGGAGGGTGTCCCTGCTCTCAGTGGTTGCTGGGAAACTCTTTAAACTGGTCCAAAAGCTGGACCACAAGGACATCATGAATGGTGCAACAGAGGTCCTGTTTGATTGTCAAGAGGCCTTTTTGCTGTCCTACCTCTAAATCAGAGGATTCAGTGCTTCAGCCTTGCTAGGGACACATAAATTCAGACACTAGCCGTTCTCCACTTTTATTGAATGTGGGAACTGCACAGTCTACCGGAGCTACTCTGAGTAGAGTGAAGTTCCATCTGATGTCCTATCTCTGACCTTCTTTCTCTACCTATTATTTTAAAATTATATTTCCAAAAGCTGAAATAGCCATGTATTCATTTGATTGGCCTGACAGGTAACAGGTCAATACATTAAGAATTGTGTATTTAACATTTAACATTAATTGTGTACTTAACATTTAATTCATATATTCACTGAATATTAAAATAAATCAATCTTACAATTACTATATCATGTGTTTCTTACTTTTTATTTCATCATACTGATATATTTTGTATTACATTTATTATGCAACTGATATTTAACATTAATATTATACATTTATAATACGTATATATGCAATCTATATAAATAATATTGACCATAGTAGTATAATATTAAAATAACACTAGAGTATGAGATAATTACACAGATTCTATTTTAAAGTTAAAAGCTTATGTATTATTTTTTAAAATAAGATTTTTCTTTGTAAGTGTTTTATACACATTAGCCATTATGAAATACCATATAGAAGTTCAGACAGGCATATTTAGTTTGTTTAGATTTAAATCAATATTTAATTAAGGGAATTTAGAAAAAGAATAGCTAAACTTCCAAATTATCATCTCTTTTGTAAGTATTATACTCCCCTTGAGATCTGATGCATAAATTACTTATATAAGAAGCTTGGAGGTAATGCTAAGTTTAATCATTACCATTTCCTCTCATTATTTTAAAGTCTTGAGTATGTAACAAATACATGAACCATGAGCGGTGAAGATTAAATATACTTGCTTCAAGCTACTTCTCTAATTAAAATCAATTTACCAGAAGGTTAATCTAATACAGTTTTGATGGTTTCTAAAATTGTTACCAAGCTTCATGGAAAATAACCTCTTTTTCGTGTTTTAGTGCTTCAACATCTGTAAGTAGCACCATTAGGTAAAAGCCCCTGTAAGTGTGTCACTTACATTCCTCTCTCAAATCCTCACAAACCTTCCTGCGTCTGTGAACTTCACTTCCCCACAAGCACTACTCACATCCTGTGGTGATTTCTGAGCATTTTCTCAACAGATAATCACAGGAGAATACAGAAGATTTAGCTAATCCTTAAATTTTAATGATTACGAAGAATTTTCTAACATCTGGATTCTAACCTTCCGTGTCAGGAGATTGTAACAGAAGGTTGGATTGCATCTCAAAAACTGTGCCCAATTTTTCAACCTTATTCTATTCTCCATTTACACCAATTCCTTAAACAACCTAATCTGGTGATGCCACAAATTTAAATACAAACAATGTGCTGAAAATTTCTAAGTTTATATTTTAATTATTGCTCCCTTGAAATTCAAATTCACATGAAAATTGAATAGCATCAATGATAGAGCCCGAATTTAATCTTTCAATATCAAAACTCTTATTTCCTTACTATCCTATTTTTCCCTTTTCCCAATTTTAATCCTTGAAAATGATATTATTCTCACATTGTTTTTCTTTTCCCTGTTTTATAATTCTTCTCTATTCCTTACTTCTTACCTGTGCTCACTAAAGAAATTTTAGATGACTCTATCCACCATAATTACTAATGAGATACAGCTGCTGGTCCATCATCTTTCACCATGAGCCGAGGGCCACCATTTTCTCTTTCTAACTGGTTTTCATACTTTCTTTCTTGCTCCTCCCAACATACCCATCTCCACACGGCAGCCTGATCAGATAGGGTCATTCTTCACCCTCTAAATGGCCTTTTATTCCATCTAATGTGTTCCACTGAGTCCTCACCCTGCTCTTTCTCCACTTCCAATTTTGTGCCACTCACTGTCAATCACTTCGTGGAAAGCAGTAATAAGACTTCAGGTTTTTTGGGAAGAGGCCCACTGCACTCCCACTCCCAGAGCATTAGTGCTCCCTATTATCCCGCAGAAATTTATGAGATTTCTTCGCTTCTGTCAGTTTTCCTTCAACTTCCATTGGTTTAATGAGCTTTCTCCAAACGTTCCATCCAAAATTACTTCCTTGCTCCCATCAGTCTCTTTCTGTTCATAGTAATTTATTTATTACACATATTACTACCTAAAATATTTATTTGAATATAAATATTCACAAAACTTAGCACGGTTAAGTGTTCCATAAATATCATTTGATTAAAAAATATATAAACAAAAAGGAAGTGATTCAAGCCCAGGAAGCAGTGAATACCAGTAGTGGAAACACATAATTTTGAGGTAAAAAGGGAGGAATTGTATATCAAGACATATTAGCATCAGTGGTTGCACAAAATAAGTAAGAAAAAGAAGTGTGATTTAAGACATTGACTTATTTCTCAAATTATAGGTAATTTCAAAGATCTCATATTGAAAGTTCTGGCACAAAATACTTCTGAGTGAACTAATAATTAAAAAAATACATGCTCAAAATAACTGTTATTAAAAATAGAAGTAACAGAGTGGTGTAAAAATGAGATACATAATATGAATCAAAGAAAATTTAAGGAATACATAATTTGAAGGAAAGGAGAGATTTTAAACTGGTAAAACCTATGAGAAAGTCATAAATTTTAACTTTCAAAACAATGACTACTAGTTGAAACTTGAACTAATTTATGAAAAGAACCAAAACCTATGTTCTAACGAAAAATTAAATGTTTATAAACTAATCTTGAAATAGCTACTATCTTAAGAAAATACTCTTTTTTTGTAGTTATGGGGATCGGGGCCTTTCTCATGCTAGGCAAATGCTCAGACATTGAGATACATCCTCGATTTCCTTTTTGATCTGCCAAAATTACTATAATTATGAAATGGTATTACAGTATTCTTGCAACCTGAAGGAGATAATCAGTTTTAGCCTAACTCCCTAAAGCCATAAGACTAAGTGGATAGAGAAATCAAACTAAATCCACACTTTATATTTCGCATACATTTAAGTGGCAAATAATGCTAAAATATTTTATTTGCCTGTGTTCTGTCCCATTTAAACTGTATGAGACATTCAAAAGAATCTAAAATTTAACCTGGCATTTTAGTATCAATTAAGTAATGTTATTCTTTGATCAGTGCCTGACATTTTAAAAAGTTGGTTTTAGAAGTTTTATTATCTATATCATTATAATAAATTCAGTACACATAATGGTGTTTATTTTTCACTGTACCACAAATACTTCACCTATGGAATCATCTATTCAGGAATATTAACATCTATTTCAAGGAACTGTTTCAATAAGAAATGGTATAAACCATGCTATGTACTTGGTTTGTTTTGATGAGCTAAATTAAGGGAGATTGGTTACAGGCTCTCTGTGGTTAGTTTTATGTTTAATATGTGTCTACTCAATGAATGTGATCCAGACTTTGAATCTGTATGTGATTTCCCACCATAG